CATCATTTCTTATATCTCTCTTTATTCCCTTAATTCCCTTTCCAATCCAGGTCCTGGTGTTTGTGAATGACATGAACATAACATAACCAAAAAAAAAAATAATGCCCACATTCCTATTCCAGCTGCCCATATTATACCAATTTGATATTGCAAAAAAAATAGACCAGGGATACAGATAACTGTTAAAATACTAAATCTAATTGCTGCCCATTTAAAAACCTTCCAACAAATAATTCCAACAATTTCTTAATTACATCTGACACAAATCTTTTTAGGCGGATTTTGTAGTGTTAGCAAAGTTTAATTCATTAATTTTTAATTCTCAAATTAAAAAAATAATATTTAATTTTTCAAATTAATTTTAAGAAATTATATTGTGGTAGTTCTGTTAAAATCTATAAAATATGAATACATAAATATTTTATTTCTCTGATTAAAATGTTTTCTTCTAATTTATGAATTGAATAAGAATTAATACTCTATTTTAACTGAGATAGTTTATTTCTTAAAATAAACAGCCATTTCACTGATATTTGCATCATAATCTGACATCTATTTCATCATAAAAAGAATTTTAATTGGATAGTATGTTTTAAGTTATTTAAACATCATTTAAATATCTTTACATATATTATTAGATATCAGAACAGAAAACTTTCCTTTATAATTGTGTAAATTATCTTTTTTAATTTAGGTAAATTCTCACATTTTCTCTTTATTATTTGTTCTTATATTTTAAATCAAAGTTATTCTGTCTATCACTTACGAACTTCAACTAATCTTTTCGATATCTCACTAATATTTCATAAATAATATTCTCGAATTATACACATTCCTTATATTAAATAAGGAAGTAAAGGAGGATAGGCAAATAAGTAAATAAAATCTTAAGGATATATTTAGAAAATTATTACTAAAATATTTATTAATAACATTTATTTACAAGAGATAGAATCTAATGATTTTGAATTTAATAATAATCTTTTGGTCCTATACAATGTTAATTGTCTCTGAATGTATACTATTGGATTTAATTATTTATTCGTAATTTAATATTGAATTTAAAACCCATTTAAATAGATATTTTATATTTATTAGAATATTATTTTTCTTATAATTTTAACAATTCATCACAAGTTTTGATCATTTGAACAAACATCATTATATATTTGAGTATTTTTGATATTGATTTTTAAGTATTAAAGAATCTATTGTAATTCTTTTTTAGACTTTGAAGACTTATATATTTGAAAAAGATATGTAATTATAATATTCCATTGATCAATCCTAATTTATAGTATAAAATTAGCTTCAATTATAAACTAATATGATTTTTAGTGCTATAAAATATAAATACTATTTTAAATAGTTATATTATTATTAATTATTTAGTAATGGCTCTAGAAGTATTCATAAGAAATTTATTCACCAGTTTATTTCAATTTAAAATAGTCATTTTGCATTTCATAAGTTAAATTGATTTTAAATCTCCAATCTTCATATGAGGTGGTTAACGATTTGTAGTATTATTATTATTAGCATCATTTAATACAAACAAATTGAGATATTCATTTCCTAATTGATAATAAGAATACTAAAAATAAATAACATATGTGTATAAATATTGACTTTGTTATATTTTTCTTGTTAGTGATTTGAATTTAAAAATAAGTAATTTCTTAAATATAAGAACTAAATGATTGACCTTCTTGAAATGATGCCAATTGATAATATATTATATTTTAATAGATTTGTTCATTAAGAAATGAAAATAATTTATTTAATATAATAAGCATAGGAACTTGAGTATATCAAGAATAAACCTTCACAGAATCAAAATAATTTACTTATAATGAGGCATTAACATATGTTGGTGGAACAGGGTTATATTAAAAAAGAGCTATCTTAATATTTGGATTGAACAGGCTAATAACTAGTATCATTAAAAATATTAAAATTTTAGTTGGATATTGTTTTTACCTTTTTACTTTTTCATCAAACTAACAATAGATTTTCAGTCTAATTGCTTTTATTCTATATGAATAATCTTTAAGTTTGCTATGAATTATTAAATGATAGTTATCGGAATTTCTTCTTAGGTTTTGGAGGTAATCCAACAATTATTTTTCATTACTCATTTATTAAAGAAAATTCTTGTAATTTAATTATATCAAAGATTTTCTATAGAGGGTAATTTTAGAGAAGTCTAAAATGTTGGTGTCTAAGTGTTTTTTGAAAATAGTTTATATGCTATAATAGCATTATCATATTTTATTACTTATTGGAGATGGTTAACAGTTTCTATTGTAATACTATCTGTTTTTCTAAATATTGGTAACCTTTTGATTTTTATAATTTTTATACACAAAGAAAATATATGTAAAGATTCTAAATTAATTTGCAAAATTAAATGGGACTTAATAAATCAAAATAGATGATTAGGCAACTAATCATTCAAATAAAGAGAGCAATTCATTAAAGAAATAGAATTTATGTATATTAATTTTTTAAATTAAAACTAATTTAAAATTCAAAAAGAGATTTTGAATTCAACTTTAATAAAAGTTGAAATTCGAGAAAGATTTTAAAAGATTTTTTATTAAACAAACTTCATAATTTGTTTAGAAATTATTGTTAACAACATATGTATTTTTGGGTGGAGTAATGATGTTTTTGCAATAAAGATGACATATTATGGAATTAGTTTTTTAAGTGGTTAGTTAGGTCTCAATTTCTTCACTACTAATTTCCTTATTACTTTATTTGAATTCTTAGCTTTTGCTAATTTAGGTAATCTGTCTACTTATTTTTGGATTTTTTTATTACAAATTTGAAAAGAAAAACAAATATTATAAGTGGGTTCTTCTTCATAGGATTTATGAGCTTATATTACCTTTTCTAAAGTAATCAAATATTATTTCGAATCTTCGAAGAGATTTTGTCTGGAGTATATTTAAAATATAATTCTAATAGTTAATGAGATTTCTAATATGAGCAGTTTAGGCTTTGGGTTATATTTATGTGCCTGAACTATTTTTGTTAGATATTTAGCCTTATGTTTGATATCAGCAGATGGATCTTTTGGCAGTAAAGCTTAAGTATATTTTATTAATTTTTTCTCATATCTCAATTTTCATTTCATTGTTGCTTTTTGGTATCATTTGTGTTTTATGCGCTTTACTATTGTTTCCATTAAGAGAAACATTACATCAGCCTATGAGAGAAAAGATCTAAGATCTGCATATAAATGATTTAGTACAAATTACATCACCCTTTCATGATACATGATTATTTTTTAATTTATATTATTTGTTAGAATAAATAATTATTTTAAAGCTAGGCTTAATCATAAAAAGACATATTCAATTTAATAAAACTCAATATTTTACACATTTGAATATTCCTCTAAATAGAACTGTTCATTTCCAGAATTTCAACCCTTATTTATATTCTTCAACTTAAATTACCTAATTATTACTAAAAGATAAATATTTGTAATACACATGATAAATTATCAAATAATTCTTCCAAAAGTCCTTCTCTCATACCATGATCATTATAAAATCTGCTCTAATTTGTATATTATTGATCATAATTAAATTATTTTAGTCTCTTCCATGTATTTTTTTAAAAAAGAATATCCCATTTTCAAAATATCAATCCTTTTTTGTATTCAGTTTAGCAAGAACTAAATAATTAAATGAGGAATGGTGTACTAAGAATGTTGAATTAATGATTCTATCCATATCCCAATCTTATAGTCTTTAATCAACCTATTCCTACATCTTATCCTTTACATTGAGTATTCCATACTAATAGATCATCGTTTCCCTTCCAGCTTAAAGACTTTATTTAATTGATGTTAAACATTATTTCATTATCTATATGTTCTCTAAATTATTTGGTTATATTATTACATCTTAAAAATTTAATACCAATCTCATCAAAAAAATTAACTTCAATTATAGTTTATTGTAATTAATTTATAATTTCATGCTGTCCTTGAAATTTCCAAATATCTATGTTTTTATTCAATCCATAATATCCTGCCTTTATAATATTTCAAAATTTATACAAATAACATCTCTTCTGTTCTTAAAATCCTAAAATGTAGTATATCTAATTTTTTTAAATAGAATACCTATCCTATTAATTAATTCTTCAATTGTTAGTAAATATTCGAATGGAACATCAATACTATGACATTTCAAGCAAAAATCACATAACTTTTTTTAACAATCATTATTGTATGTGCATATATGGGTCACCTTCTAGTTAGGTGATCTTTACATAAATCATTCATTATATTTATTTTTAAATGTATTTTTTTATTTTTCATTTCGTAATAAGAAAACATCTACAATAATCAAAATGAAAAATTCAAACTTTAAAGAATTAAAAGGATTTTTTAATAATTCTAAATAATCAGGATTGTTTTTAAAAAATTTCAGAGACTCTAATCGATTAATATTTGATTAAAAATTAATTACCAAATTTAAATAATTATAGAAATGTCTGAATTGTATATTTTGAAAAAGTTTGCTAAATAGAACACAGATGTTAAAAAGTAGATACATAATTGCATATCTGTATATATAGAAAAATAATTTATTGATGGTCTGCATTGAAACATCAAGATTAATATTTAAGATTATGGAAACAACTCATCATAAATATTATCTTAATTGGATTTTAGATATAAATTTAAATATTTACTATGAGTTAGGCAACACGAATTTAAACGGTTTGGAATTTGTAAATATTAAAGAATGCATATAAATTTGAAGAGAAACATTAAATGAATTAAATTTTTATGTTTAAATTGCAATCTTAACACAATTTATGGAGCTAAAATATCTGGTTCTTATTTATATTTATTCATTTCAACTAAAGTTAATTAATCAAAATACTGATTTTTGTTTATAGTTAAATAAAAAATTTATTTATTGGAAAGATGACCCAATTATTCTNCCATGATCATTATAAAATCTGCTCTAATTTGTATATTATTGATCATAATTAAATTATTTTAGTCTCTTCCATGTATTTTTTTAAAAAAGAATATCCCATTTTCAAAATATCAATCCTTTTTTGTATTCAGTTTAGCAAGAACTAAATAATTAAATGAGGAATGGTGTACTAAGAATGTTGAATTAATGATTCTATCCATATCCCAATCTTATAGTCTTTAATCAACCTATTCCTACATCTTATCCTTTACATTGAGTATTCCATACTAATAGATCATCGTTTCCCTTCCAGCTTAAAGACTTTATTTAATTGATGTTAAACATTATTTCATTATCTATATGTTCTCTAAATTATTTGGTTATATTATTACATCTTAAAAATTTAATACCAATCTCATCAAAAAAATTAACTTCAATTATAGTTTATTGTAATTAATTTATAATTTCATGCTGTCCTTGAAATTTCCAAATATCTATGTTTTTATTCAATCCATAATATCCTGCCTTTATAATATTTCAAAATTTATACAAATAACATCTCTTCTGTTCTTAAAATCCTAAAATGTAGTATATCTAATTTTTTTAAATAGAATACCTATCCTATTAATTAATTCTTCAATTGTTAGTAAATATTCGAATGGAACATCAATACTATGACATTTCAAGCAAAAATCACATAACTTTTTTTAACAATCATTATTGTATGTGCATATATGGGTCACCTTCTAGTTAGGTGATCTTTACATAAATCATTCATTATATTTATTTTTAAATGTATTTTTTTATTTTTCATTTCGTAATAAGAAAACATCTACAATAATCAAAATGAAAAATTCAAACTTTAAAGAATTAAAAGGATTTTTTAATAATTCTAAATAATCAGGATTGTTTTTAAAAAATTTCAGAGACTCTAATCGATTAATATTTGATTAAAAATTAATTACCAAATTTAAATAATTATAGAAATGTCTGAATTGTATATTTTGAAAAAGTTTGCTAAATAGAACACAGATGTTAAAAAGTAGATACATAATTGCATATCTGTATATATAGAAAAATAATTTATTGATGGTCTGCATTGAAACATCAAGATTAATATTTAAGATTATGGAAACAACTCATCATAAATATTATCTTAATTGGATTTTAGATATAAATTTAAATATTTACTATGAGTTAGGCAACACGAATTTAAACGGTTTGGAATTTGTAAATATTAAAGAATGCATATAAATTTGAAGAGAAACATTAAATGAATTAAATTTTTATGTTTAAATTGCAATCTTAACACAATTTATGGAGCTAAAATATCTGGTTCTTATTTATATTTATTCATTTCAACTAAAGTTAATTAATCAAAATACTGATTTTTGTTTATAGTTAAATAAAAAATTTATTTATTGGAAAGATGACCCAATTATTCTAAAATAAAAGGAATTTTCAAGAGCCAAAAATCTTACACCAAGAAACCATAAGTGTTGATTTATAAAAGTGGAATCAAACCAGCCTGTAGCATGTTAAAGAAAAAATTTAGATTTTAATTACAAATGATAATTATATCATTTATTAATCATAAGAAGGAATAATTTTAAGAAAGTATTTCAATATTTATTAGTTTTAAAAAGAGAATTGATAAATGACGATTTCAATCCAGAAATTTTTCATAATTTGGAACAGATCCTACATTTACGATGGTGGGGCCAATTTGGAAAAAATCAGAAAAAATAAGGTAAATGGACAGCCACTTGGAATGGTGAAGCTCTTTTCGAAGTTGGTGGATACTACTAGGATGGATTAAAGGAAGGTTTATGGACTGAACCTTTTAAGGATTACAGAACGTAAAAATAAATAAGTTAAAAAAAATAGCAAAGCTCAAGTATATGAAAGTGGATAATATTTTCACAATTAAAAGGTTGGAAGATGGTTATATTATTATAAATAAAACTAAATGTATAATTATAGCCAGAATATTTAGTGGAGGTGGTTTATACAACAAGTAAGGATAAAGGAAAGGGAAATGGATTGTTTTAGGAGAAGGATTTTGGGATTAATCTTAAGTGACATATTCTGGTGAATATCGCGCTGGTAACAAAGTTGGTAATTGGGATATTTGGCTTGATTGGAATGAGAGGAGTAGGAAAATGTAAATATATATTATGTAGTAAAATTTGTAGTGGTGGTGGATGTTATGATAAAGAAGGCCATGGATTTAAATAAGGTTATTGGGTAGAGGTTTCAGATAGATTTGAAATTTTATCTTAAGTAACAAATATTGGTGAATATAAACTCGGTAAAAAGGTCGGTAAATGGGATATTTGGCATAGTAATTTCGAATAAAATAAAAAGATGTAAAAATATTGTATACTCATATGCTTATTAGTGGGGGTGGATTATATGAAAAAAGTGGTACTGAAATTAAGGTAGGTTATTGGATAGAAATTTCTGATCAATATACCAATTTTTTTTAACTAATGTATCATGGTGTTTATAAAAATGGTAAAAAGATCAACAAATGGAATACTAAGAAAAATGATGGATAAGAAAATTAAAAGATGTAAGAAAGTACATATGTAGTTAATCTTTCTGTCTTTAGAGGTGGTGGATGTTATGATGATAAAGGGGATGGAATGAAGGTTGGTAAGTGGGTAGAAGTATCAGACAAATTTCCAAGGTATCCCGGGATAACATATAATGGTGAATATAAAAATAATAAAAAAGTTGGTAAATGGGAAATATTTTGGAATAATGAGGAAGATATTAAATAAATGTAAGAAAATAGATATATATATTAATGTCTGTATTTAGTGGTGGTGGATTTTATGATGATGGAGGAGATGAATTGAAGTTTGGTAAGTGGGTGGAAGTATCCGACGGATTTCACGTGTATTCTTAAGTAACTTAGGTTGGTGAATATAAACTTGGTAAAAAGGTTGGGAGATGGAATATATGTTATAGTGATTCAGAAGGAAATAAAACGATGTAAAAATATTCTAGTTAATGCTTGTTTTTAGTGGTGGTGGATTATATGAAGAAAGTGGTACTGAAATTAAGGTTGGTAATTGGTTGGAAATTTCTGATGAATTTACATCTTACATTTAAGTAATGTATTAAGGTGAATATCTAAATAATAAAAAATGCGGTAGATGGGATATTTGGTTTAATTTTTTAGAAAATTAGATAATGTATTATAATAATAAAGTGTTTCTGTTTTAGTGGTGGCGGAACTTATGATGAAGAAGGCTATGGGATTAAATTGGGTAATTGGGTGGAATTGTGGGATGAATTTCAAATTTTATCTTAAATTATGTACAATGGTGAATATAAAAACGCTAAAAAAGTTGGAAAATGGGATTTGTTGTATAGGTATTATGATGAAAGTGAGTTTAAATTGATGTAAAAAGTTTCATCTATATTTATGAATTATAATTCATTTTTAGAGGTGGAGGATAATATAATAGTGACGGGATAAAGGATGGTTATTGGGTGGAAATAAATAATGGATTTTAATGGACTTCTGAAATAATAGATGATGGTGAATATAAGAAAGGTAAAAAAGTTGGAAAATGGAGCCAATAGTATCGAGACTGGAACAAAATAGAAGAAGGCTTTATTAAGATAAAAGAAATTATATATGATAATTGAATGATACAATAATTATATGGAAAAATTTAACATTTTTATAGTATGACTATTTATAAAAGAGTGATAATGCTTTTTGTTATCTTGGTTATAATATTTTCTTATTAAAAGTTGTTTTTACACTACCTTTAGATTAGTTTTTGTTATATTATTTTAGCAATTTACTTGTTTAAAATTGATTTATATTTTGATGGTTTTATATAGTTCATCAGCTCACTTTATCAAAGGTGGTACATAATACCTATACTGTTTTATATTGATCTCAAGTATACCCAATCTCTTAGAATCCCTCCAGATTTCAAGCCTCTGCATTGAGTTCGAATTCTTGAAGCTCTTCGTCTCTTTGCCCTAAAAGGACATGCTATATANTGAATATAAAAATAATAAAAAAGTTGGTAAATGGGAAATATTTTGGAATAATGAGGAAGATATTAAATAAATGTAAGAAAATAGATATATATATTAATGTCTGTATTTAGTGGTGGTGGATTTTATGATGATGGAGGAGATGAATTGAAGTTTGGTAAGTGGGTGGAAGTATCCGACGGATTTCACGTGTATTCTTAAGTAACTTAGGTTGGTGAATATAAACTTGGTAAAAAGGTTGGGAGATGGAATATATGTTATAGTGATTCAGAAGGAAATAAAACGATGTAAAAATATTCTAGTTAATGCTTGTTTTTAGTGGTGGTGGATTATATGAAGAAAGTGGTACTGAAATTAAGGTTGGTAATTGGTTGGAAATTTCTGATGAATTTACATCTTACATTTAAGTAATGTATTAAGGTGAATATCTAAATAATAAAAAATGCGGTAGATGGGATATTTGGTTTAATTTTTTAGAAAATTAGATAATGTATTATAATAATAAAGTGTTTCTGTTTTAGTGGTGGCGGAACTTATGATGAAGAAGGCTATGGGATTAAATTGGGTAATTGGGTGGAATTGTGGGATGAATTTCAAATTTTATCTTAAATTATGTACAATGGTGAATATAAAAACGCTAAAAAAGTTGGAAAATGGGATTTGTTGTATAGGTATTATGATGAAAGTGAGTTTAAATTGATGTAAAAAGTTTCATCTATATTTATGAATTATAATTCATTTTTAGAGGTGGAGGATAATATAATAGTGACGGGATAAAGGATGGTTATTGGGTGGAAATAAATAATGGATTTTAATGGACTTCTGAAATAATAGATGATGGTGAATATAAGAAAGGTAAAAAAGTTGGAAAATGGAGCCAATAGTATCGAGACTGGAACAAAATAGAAGAAGGCTTTATTAAGATAAAAGAAATTATATATGATAATTGAATGATACAATAATTATATGGAAAAATTTAACATTTTTATAGTATGACTATTTATAAAAGAGTGATAATGCTTTTTGTTATCTTGGTTATAATATTTTCTTATTAAAAGTTGTTTTTACACTACCTTTAGATTAGTTTTTGTTATATTATTTTAGCAATTTACTTGTTTAAAATTGATTTATATTTTGATGGTTTTATATAGTTCATCAGCTCACTTTATCAAAGGTGGTACATAATACCTATACTGTTTTATATTGATCTCAAGTATACCCAATCTCTTAGAATCCCTCCAGATTTCAAGCCTCTGCATTGAGTTCGAATTCTTGAAGCTCTTCGTCTCTTTGCCCTAAAAGGACATGCTATATAGCTTACAAAATTTTTATGTATATGGTCATAATAAAAAAAATATTGTTGTATTATATCCAAAAGGAAATAGGAGAAACTTTTTTTTATACTTTTTATCTAGAGAATACTTAATCTACCAAAAGTCCTACAATTTATATTCTATTCTTATGAGCGATCATAGATAATATTGATTATCTATTGTAGTAAAACATTTTAGCTATTTCTAGTTGAATTTTTTTAATTAAATAAAATAATTATAAGGTTGTTATTTTAATTTATATTTTTGTAAACTTATATTATAAGTAGGATATATTAATCTAATTTTTTATGTAAAAAACTCATAAATATAAATAAAATAAAACTGATAAATTATATTTATTTCTCCATTTTATGTAATTAAATTATATTTGATATCAGCAATAAATTTAATCATAGAATTTTTTTTAAATAGCACTGATTAGATACAATATTCAAAGTTCTGAATAATATTAAAGTATATAAGACATTCAATATTAATTTTTTTATTGCTTATATCTGACTTTCGATGAAAAGATCAGCAATAATTATTTGGATTATAACAAAAATGCTTCTTAATTACATATACATTATGATTTGAAAAGAATTAATATTTTTTAATTATAAAATAGTTATTTTATTGATTAATTAATTAATATATTAAATATTAGAAACCTATTTCTTATGTCAATATTGTTATCAAATTATAATGATACTATGCAGTGTTTCTAACTCTAACAAATATTTTTTGAGATTATACTAAAAATATTATTTCATATTTAAGTAGAACACCTATTACTTTTATTGAAAACTTTGAATTCTATCAAAAATAATTATAAATTATTTAATTAATGGCAATCTTCATAACTTGTACTTACATAAACAATGCAAGTTTAATCAAAACAATTATTATCTTAACCATGATAGTAAGTATAATAAATAGAAAAGTAGTGTATTCTAAATTATCAGGTGACTTTCTATTTTCAGATCAAGGTAATTTGGTTTTTGATATATAGATTGGTCTGTGTATAATTATGATTTTAGTCTAATTATTGTCATTACTTGTGGTACTTAAAATGTTTTATGTGTTGACAATTTTTCAAGAATTGATAATTCTTTTCTTACTAAGACATTTAAACTTGAACCTCATTATTAAGTCACCCTTACTTTCAAATTTTGGAGGTATTAATTGATTATATAATTTAGAATTGATACTTGGAATAATAAACTCTTTGAAGTATATGCTGATTAAGAAAAATAATATTCAAGATATTATTCTCACTCTGATTCTACTACAAACATTTGTCAAGATACAATTAGTGATTCAATAACAGATATCTCTTTAACTTTTCAACATACAAATCCATCTTTATAAGTTATTACAAAAGGCGAAGGATCTTATTGGGGAATTTCAAATTTTGAATTAGTTATTGATGAATGTCCTCCAGGATGTGATGCATGTAATTAGAGTCAATGCTTAGATTTAAAATTAGTACCTATAACTAAATAATGGATCACTATTGATAATTTAACGACAAACACTTCATGTATGGGTAATTGATAGTACTAATTAGATTATCGGTATTATTGGACAGAGGGTACATATATGGAAATAGAAATTGATTTAGAATCCCATATTAAAATTAGTTCAAAAATGAGATTCTTAGTAACAAATGCCAATAATCCAATTCTTACAGTAAAAATTGATGATCAATATGTAACTACAACATAGAAATTATCACAACGAATAATTTTTCCAACATCTTATTGCCATCATATATAAATTCTTGATGTAAAAATAACAGACTTAGTACATACAAATCCAAAAATTAAAATTCGTATTGATATAGTTATGCCATAATATCAAGTAACAGATGGTACTCCTTTTTTTGGGAGCCCAGATTTTGAATTATTCATCACTTAAAAAAAATAAATTTATATAGATTAAGGATTACCTTTTGAAGGCTGTTAATTAGATATAACTAAATTTGTTGAAGGTTGTGCTTTTTGTGTTAGAAATGAATGTTTACATTGTTAAGATGGTTGGCAATATATAGAATAAGATCAGAAATGCTCACCCATATGTGGAGATTAAAAAATTGTCTAAAATGAATTATGTGATGATGGTAATCTTATTCCATATGATGGATGTTATTAATGTTAATATTCTTGTCCATTATTTTGTAAGAATTGTATAAAAGGAAAATGTATTGAATGTGAGTAACCATAAAATTTAATTAATGGATTGTGTCTATTTGTATGTGATTAATTTAAAATGACTTCTGTTTAATAATACACAGGATGTTTTTATTATGTAGATAATTTTGAAGTAAATGGCTATTACTAGCATACAATATTCAATTAAGATAATTTAAAATACTTTTAAAATTAATTTTTAGATTGTAATCTTTTGTAATATGGAATTTTTGGATTTATTTACAACTAATGTAAAGTTAAAAATATATCATAATGTAAAAATTAATCTTGGAATATTTGTCTTGAATGTAAAGAGGGATTTTAATTATCTAAGAGTAAATAATAGTGTATTTCTGTTTGTAATGATTGTATGATAGTAGACTTTGAAGTATGTGATGATGGAAATGTAATTTAATTTGATGGTTGCTATTAATGTTAATTAAGTTGTCAATTAGAATGTAAAAATTGTGTTGATCAAAAATGTTTAAGATGTATAGAAGGATGGGATCTTATTGATAATTATTGCAAACCAAATTGTGGAGATGGAATCACTGTTTATACAGAATAATGTGATGATGGTAATTAATAAGATGGAGATGGATGTTATTAATGTTAGGCTGAATGTCCTTATTGTGAAATATGCAATTACAAAAATAAATGTTAATTATGTTTAGAACATTTCCATTCCATAGAAAATATATGTCATCCTATATGTGGTGATAGTTATATAGAACCAGGTTTAGAAGAATGTGATGATGGCAATTAAATTTAATATGATGGTTGCTATAATTGTTAATTAGAATGTGATACAAGATGTAAGAAATGCTATTATGGGTAATGTAAAGATATTTGTCTATTTGATGAATTGGAAGTTGATGGAAAATGCTTCAAATTTATTTCAGAAGATAAGGGTATTATAAATTCTAATGATTGTTCTAAAGGATGCTAAGAATGTGTTTAAGGGGAGTGTTTATTGTGTTGGTCGAATTATATACTACTTAGAGGATTATGTTATGAAATTGAATGTGGAAATGGAATTATAGAATCTCTTGAAGATTGTGATGATGGTAATTCTATAAATAATGATGGATGTTCAAATGATTGTAAAATTGAATAGAATTGGAATTGTTTTAGTAAGGAAACATAAGCCAATTAGTGTTTTTCATCTACATAAGTGTTTCTTGAATATTTGAATTAGACAAAGTATTACTAATATATTCAATTGAAATTTTCTAAAAAAGTTATGCTTGGCAACAATTCAAAAATAGATAATTTTCCTGCTAACAATTCTTTTAAAATTAATGAATTGTCATCTGATGAATATTTTATAAATTGCAATCCAATAGTTCCTATCTCTCAAAATGAATATAAGAATATTCAATATGAGTTCTAAATTTACTTCTACTACTAAATAAATAATACTCACATATTTAGTATTTAATTAAATGAAACTATTATGGATGAGAATGAAATTTTTTTATCTCCAACTAATATATCAGTTAAACTAAAAGTTCCTAAAATTCTGACAAGAACTTAATTAAAAGCTTCTAAAGCTTTATAAAAAGCGGGCTATTCTATGATGATTAGTTTGAGTTGTAGTGGCTTTTTAATGTTGCTTCTAGGGAGATTTTCATAAATAATTTCATTATTAGACATACTTTAATAATAATAATTTCTAAAATACTTAAATGTAGATTATCCTTAGAACGTCAATATTTATTTTGAATCTTCTAATTTCATTACTTTGCAACCATTATTGAATTATTTAAATTTTCCAGATTTATCTTCATATATATTTTCAAAATAGTTTTAAGAGAGTGCAGGTAAGTTTAAAGAATATTAAATAAATGCTGATTTTCTGAGCAATATTGATAGTTTCATATTCTAAATTTTTGTGGGATGTACCTTTTGTTTATTTCTCTATGTATATGAAAAATATATTTCAAAACTCATTTCTTTAAAAAAAGTTTTCAATTTTATTCAAAAACTTAGATCGAAAATTATTAAATCTCTTTTCATTTATCTATATCAATATAAAAGAAAGAACTTAGAAATTAAAAGGATCATCAATAAAGAAACTTTTATTAAATTCATTTGTGCAAATAGTTAAGACTTAATGTTTAAAGTTGGTGTATTTTTAATTTCCAATACAAAGTCTGAAATTCGATAAAGAGTTTCCTTATTAATTTGTTTTTTGTATTTAGGGAACATAATTTTGATTTTCCTTTTTGACTTTAAAAAACATAAGATGATAAAAATAACATAACTTTTTCAATTATAACATGAAAAGTTAATTTTATTTAAATAATTATCTTTTCATTTTCTTTTAACATAATTTCAATTTCATTATATACTTTAAAGTCTACTAATATCATTAGTTAATACTACTTATATCATTTTGATTTTAGGGTTTAAACCTAAAATTAAAATTAATAAAATTTAATTATTAACTATTTTATCAAATGAAATTCCAATAACAATTTTCTCACTATTAAACATCTCATATGATGATAATTTTTAAATCTATTTAACTTTAAATTAACAAATATATATTGGATTTGCGTAGATTGGATTGCTAATTTTTAGTTTAGTAGGTCCTATTTTGGAAATTATATTTGAGTGTTATAATTAATTGAAATAATTTAAACAAAGAAAAAGCAATGATGAGATAGAAAATAAGATTTCTACAAATGTTTTCATTTTGGCATTTTGAAATAATAGATTGCGATTTAATTTGATTTTGAGTGTTATAGAGCGTTTATACAAAAATTTATTATTCTATAATAATATTTCTTAAACTAAATAATAGAGAATTTGTGATACTCTAAAGTTAAGAAATAAATTTAAAGTAATATTTTTTAAAAGTAAACCCTATTCGAAAGTATATTTGGAATTTAATCGCAATTTTTTAATTCAAAAGTGTAAAAGAATATTAACTAAGGGATTATTTTGAATACTTTCAATAATTAACAAACAATAAGTATAAGTATTCAGTTCCAAAATATTTAGTTATTTCTTTCTTTATATTTAAGGCATTTAAGACAATTATTTTAAATTTTCAGCAATATAATATTGCTTATGTAAAATATATTTACTATTTACGATAGGTAATCTGAAAGTAATTGATCAAGTTGAATTTAATTTTATATGATTTTTTTTATGGTTTTAGTATGATTTAATGGTAAAATAGATATTGTTGTTGTTTTAATTTCTTAAATCACATAAAGCTTCTAAAAGTAATTCATGGATACTATTTATAAAATTATTACTTCAAATTAACGCTTATTTATCTAGTGCTAAATTTGTGTTTTAGGTAGAATTTTAGACATTAATATAAACAGAAAATAATATATTATTTTTATATTAATATAAAATAAAATTGAATTTGTTAAATTAATTAAATCTAGTTAGATAACTGAAACGAAAATATTATTTATATTGCCTAAAATATTATTATTTTTATTGGATTAATATATTAAGGTTATTTTACATATACGTTGTATTATATCAAAACAATTGTCCAGATTTGGCTATTTTTTAAGCAAAGATAAGCAATTTTAAGAAGATATGTTAATTTTAATTTTATAGAACTCTTAAAATAGATTAAAGTAATGATATTAAATAAATTAATAATTTTCATACAAAAACGTTCAAAGTCTTTATTTAATTAAACTATTTAAAAATTATAATATATTAAGTTATATAGTTTTAGAATCTCCTTTTTATTTAAATTTTATCACTTTATTTCCCCTTATTGTTTATAAAAACATTTCATATTTAATACAATATATAATTAGATTTATATGATTGTATGAAAAAGGTGGGCAAATAAAAATATCATTTATAATAAAATAAATATCTTTAAAATTTATTGATACATATTTCTGAGTTAAATGTATGTAAATATCAATACCTAACCTATATATATATAACCCAAACTTAAAGTGTAAAACTCAAGTTAATTGGATATTATTAATAATTTAACAAGTAATGGCTACTATGTATTCATGGTTATCTAATCTTTAAATCTTCCTATTATAACTTATTATATTTTTTTCTTATAAATACTGATTTTGCCTTTTAAAATTAGTACTAATCAATCAAATTTTTTTTATAAATTAATAATCAAAATGCTCTTCAACCATTAAGAAAAGCACAAAGTATTATATAAAACTTCACGTTAATAAATTCTAACCATTTGGAAGAGATTAAATGCATATTTAAAGCCGTGATTTAGAGTTCTGTTATTTCATTATTAAAGCCACAATTTAAATTTTTAGTTAAATTTCCTAAAATTGAGTTCTGCAAAACCAGAATTTTTGGTTTAAAATCTTAAACATAAATATTATTATAAAATGGTAATTATACTGCTCTAAATATTTGTTGAAATTGATCTATTTAACATTTCCAACTCTACCATTATAAAAGATAGTTTTTGACAAGAATTTCATCATATTTAATCTGAAAATTTTTCATAATCACAATTTAACTAATTAATTATGAGAAGAAGTTAAATATCTATCGTCAATAT